AGAGGGAAAGACCAGATGGGACCAAAACAGGGCTGGGATAAACTTTGTCAAACAATCTTTCAAAGAAAATAGATTCCGGTGTCAAACAAATCTAACTCAAAAGTCTCAATTTCCAGCTATAACATAGAATAAGGCAATAAACTGCGTCTTCACAAAATCAAAATGTTTGCTTCATAGTTTTTAACATAAAATGGTTATTTTTGTTCAAGGTGGTTTTGGGTGTTGCCATAACGTACCTTCAGTGTTCTCGTTGTAAAAGCACATACAGCAAAAGTCACAGAACATCCTTGGGGTTGAAAGGATTTATTTAGGTTAGACCAGGCTTTTTTCCACTTCAAGTACAGTCAGCCATATCTTGTCTAGTTTCATTTACATTTACCAAGAATTCTGGGTGTCAAAGTGTAAATTGAAATATACCTTTAACTAAAAGAATTTATTAGAGTACAAAACTAATACCACGAGTTCCTGCTTTTAACATAACACGAGTTGGGGGGGGGGGAGAGCATATAAGTCAGTGCGTGTTGTAATTATTTTGTCCTTTTAGCAGCTTTAAAAAAAAAATACTGAATTTGGCTAGCATTTGACAAACCTGCCTTTAGGAACATTGTATGTACGCATCTTTGATGTAACTTTAGCAAATCTCTCAAGTCTTTTTTAGAGCAGACTTAGAAAATAGTGTACGGTTTGCTTTTTCAACCACACAAAACCTGTATGAAAGACAAAATAATTACAATACCATTGGAGGGGGAAAAAAACCCAACTATTATTTACACTGTAAAACTTTTTTAAAATTCAGTTAACCGCTTAAGTAGCAAGCCTTTTTCATCCAGCCGGACACAGTATTTTTTTAGTATGTTAACTGCTATTCTTTTCTTTTTGGTTGCATAAATTTGTAACACTTAAGTGTCTTGGTATGTTTAAGTAGTGTCTAAAATAGAGTATCTTAGTCTTTATTCACAGTACTTCTGTATAATGTGTAATGCACTGGACTAACTCTTGTTTACCATTCATGTAACAAAAACCAGCACATTATCTGCACTAAGCTCAAAGAATGTTGCATTTGTCTATAGGCAGCTCTTCAATAAGATAAATGGGAAATTGAATATGGTCTGATGGTAAACAAGGGCTTTTACTGTTCTCTTCAGTGGAACTTTCTTCTTGGTCAAATTTTAACTAGTTAGTATTATATTTATATACAGGGTCTTCTTTTTCTTTACCAATGTATTTTCCTACTCATAGCTGACCAATAAATCCAATATCTGTTTCAAACCTTCTTGACGTCTAATTCATATTTTAACTTAATTCCTAAAGCTTTTCCTGAGGAGTTGCACATACAGCCAGAGTGACTGAAGTGCGTTAAAGCGTGAAACGGAAGCACGTTAAGAAACTTGATAACCCCAGAAAGGCTTTCCTGTACTCTCTGTAACTTTATAGACCTGCAGACCAGAAAGCTGTTTGAATCAGTTGGGTTTGGATTGCAAAGTGAAGACCTGGTTAGGAATGCCTCCAGAGTTTGTGGAAAACCTGGGTCCAAACCTACTCAGATCTCAACCCCATGTCTTCATATCTGTCATCTTCTGACCTTCCCACGTCAGCCAGTAAGGTCAGTTCTGCAGTGTAGGGTCCGCAGGTTTTGTCTGTGTCCAGTAGACCCTGCTCTTTCCTTCCTCTTCCCTCCTCACCCCAGAGACCCTAAAGTAGACTTGGAATCTGGCAGTGGGATGGGATGCAAAGATTCCATTAATTCACCATGGGGAACAAAGTGAAGATTACTTGCTTTTTTTTTTTTGCCCTTTTTTTTTTTAAATTTCCCCCCCTCAGGGAAGAGATTCAACTAAGTCTTGTCCTTAGTTTATTTTAATATCATGTTCTTTCTGTTTTGTTTTTTTTTTCCCTTGGGTTTTTTTCTTTCACATCAGAGTGTGTGCATAACACTGCAGACTATTATGTTTTATATGATGTTTCCATCACTAGTAGCTGAAAACATAAAATATCTGAGCAGACGTGCTGTCTTGCGTGCTTCAGTGCTTCACGCATCTCACTGGCACCCCTGCGTCTCTTCAGAACTCACATTCAGTGTGTTGGCACTGCTTGGTTTGAAATAAATGATCTAGTCCAGTGTTTCCATGAATACCACACGCCCAGAGTGCTCAGCTTGTTAGTAGTTTTAAAATTTGCTGTCTTGAAGCAGCTCTAAGTCCCTAACCGAGTGAGGAGTACATTCCAGACATCAGCAATGATTTGCTTCTGTCTCATGGGTGAGAGATGAACTCCCACCATCGCATTTGCAGTCTGGCCACTAGATGGTGTGTGTAGCACAGGCTTGGTGTGCACAGATAAGTGTGAACGTGTTTCAGAGTGCCACCCAGAACAGCAGGCCTTGTAGAATTATTCTTAAGAGTATTTGTAGGAATTCAGGCCCAGGAAAGAACCTTTTCTGTTGGTGGCAGCTGGCTTGGTAACATCCATGTCAATTAAATATTGGCTTTATAAATTCAGCTGTCAGAATGGGAATGAAAATTATCTTCTTGGTCCTCTGGTAAAATCATTTTAAGGCCTTCACTTGCTGCGTTTAGTCTATTTAATGTTATGTTTTCAGATGAGTACAGTTGTTATGTGGTTCTAAACTGGAGGTTTTGAGCTGTTAAAATAACATCCGCTAACCTGGCATGTAAGCACTGGGATATTAATCTGTGGGGAAACTGCCAAAATTCATGGAGAGCCTGGCGAGAGAGAGCATACGGACAACAGCATCTCTCACTCCAAGACAAAGATGTGAGTTGAGCTTGTGTCCTGTGGTCCTAAGCCAGGTAAGATAAAATCTGTCTTTCCTTAACTTGCAGTAAAATAACTCCAGCTGTTTTAATATAATTGAATACGAAATCTCTCTGGCCAGTGTTCCTTCATACCCCGGCGTCCACTGGCTCCTCAGTGGCAGAGCGGAGTTGGCTTTGTGCCTCAGAGGGTGGGAATGTCCCAAACTGGTGCAGGTGACTGCATGGCATTTCTTCTCTGCTGACACAGGTAGAGCAGAGGAGCACTAACACAACCGGAATTGAATCCGGAGAGAGAGAGAGGGAAGGAGGAGAAACTGAGGAAGAGGTAAGCGGAAAGGGCAAGAATATGCAAGGTACATCAGGTGATGTTTTGGGAGAAGCTGTACCTCATTAAAGGTGAGTGTCCTCGTTACTTTCTTGCTTTTCATCTTCCCCTCCTAACCTAGAGGCACTAATTGTTTGTTCTATAAATGTTCGCTTATTCTGTTTGCATGGAAAACAATAAAGCTAATTAAGCTATAGGGACCTTAGGGACCTTTGGAGCATTTGAATCTTTTCTTATTCCAAAATAAGCCTGCTATTCTCACAGATTATCAATTTTTAAAAGATGGGAAGGTATGTTCTGATTAAATCTTCATGGTGTGTGAGTAGACAGTATTAATTTATTTTAAAAACGCTAAAGGTTTATTGTAAAAAATACTCATTACAGAAAACAAAACCATAGATACACTTCTGCTAGATTTTAACGGCCACAAAGATTTAAGCTTCAGCTAGTTGTTCATAGCACACTTTTTTTTCTAGTTAGCTAATTCAGTTTAGTTTTTCCTGGGTTTATTTTCTAGGCTTGGTTGGGGTTTTTTTCTAGCACAAACTGCTCCCTTCAGGTATCAATAGTGAATTAGTGGCAGTTTCTCCACTGTGGCTAACAGTATTGATAGCTCTTCAGAGGATGGATTTATTGATTTTATTTCCCTTCTTCCTTTTCAAAAAACAGCATACCAGTTAATAGTCTGCTTTTTGGCCAAGAGGGCCAAGACCTGTTTTATCTGAAGACCTGAACTACGCCGTGTGCTGGTTTTGCTGACCCTGGCAGCAAGACACCACCAAGGAAAAGCCTGGAGATGCACAAGGATTTCTTTTAACCATCTCCTCCCTTCTCACCTCTCCCAGATAAACCAGTGGGAGAGGAGAACATTAGGAATCGCATACGGGTTGCATGGGGCGAAGTGAAGCATCCTCCCTGATGTCCTGTCTGGCAATGTGGTATCTCCTGGGACACGGCTGCTGCTTCTAACGCATCAGGCCCTTGATGAGGCTACACCTTTTGTTGTTGTTGTTGATGTCTATTTGTTCTCTGTGGTTGTCTGGGTTCTGTGGGGACATGAGCCAGGCTCCAGGGGCACGCGAGAGTGCTTCACCAGTCAACGTGGTTGTGTGGTGTTGGGATGCTACCAACCCGGTTCTTGTTAGTGGGACCTGTGGACTCGTGCAGGTCGTGGGGCATATGCTGCCATCTGTGGAAGAGCTGCTGCTGAAATCTCAGAAACAGGAATGACAGGTTACCATGCAAAGGAAGCGAGCAGAGATACTTAATATCTGTCTTGGTTAACATCTCTGAAGATTGAGCTTCCTTTGTCTTGGTGTGGTTGTGAATTTTCCAGTAAATAAG